GAGAAGAGAAGAGAAGAGAAGAGAAGAGAAGAGAAGAGAAGAGAAGATATGGAGTGGAATCAATTGGAATGGAGTGGAGAGGAGTGGAGTGGGAGTAGGAGTAGGAGTATGAGTAGAAGTAGGAGTAGGATAGAGTAGAGTAGAGTAGAGTAGAGTAGAGTAGAGTAGAGTAGAGTAGAGTAGAGTCGAATAGAATAGAATAGAATAGAATAGAATAGAATAGAATAGAATAGAATAGAATAGAATAGAATAGAATAGAATAGAATAGGAATATTTGTTTAGGACCTCGGAAATCTAGTCCAGCCTCCTCCTTAGGCAAGGAGCCCTTTACCATTTCAGACAAATGGCTGTCCAGTCTCTTCTTGAATGCCTCCAGGAATGAAGGCAAGCTATTCCACTGGTTGATTATTGCTCTCACTGTCAGAAAATTTCTCCTTATTTCCACGTTGAACCTCCCTTTGATCAGTTTCCATCCCTTATTCCTTGCTTGGCCCTCCAGTGCTATCCTCACCCCATTGACCTCACCCCATTCCTAAGAGGTCTGTAAGGGGCGTGCATAAGTGCACCATCGTGCCTACCGTCCCTGTCCTATTGTCCCCATTTATTCGTACCTATTTCCTGTATTCTTACTCATGTTTATACTTATACCTATTCTCTTGTAAGCGACCGATGAATCGGATAAATAAATTAAATAAATCCTGTCTCCCCCTGGTCCTTCTCTTCACTAGACTAGCCATGCCCAGTTCCTGCAACCATTCATCGTGTGTTTTAGCCTCCGGTCCCCTAATCATCTTTGTTAGTCTTCTCTGCTCCCTTTCTTCTAGTCCAACCCCATGGTCCAGCAGGAAGTCCTACACCATTTCAGACCAATAGTGGTCCAATCTCTTCATTAAAACCTCCAGTGTTGGAGCCTTTACAACTTCTGGAGGCAAGCTGTTCCACTGATTAATTGTTCTATCAGGAAACTTCTCCTTAGTTCTAGGTTGCTTCTCTTCATGTTTAGTTTCCACCCATTGCTTCTCGTTTTGCCTTCTATCATTTTCCATTTTTCTGTCTTGAAGACAATGTCATAACAGTAGAAGGTATCCATAACTTTGGGTCTTTTGTTCCTCAACAACTAAGCAATAGCTGCAGTGACTGGTCAATGGGGCAATGATCAACCACTCTGAAACTTTAGTAGAAAATATGATTCTAAGAGTTATTGTTGCTTCCCAAGAACTCAGAACAGACATGCAAACACCCAGGATTCTTAGGAGAAGCAACAGCGATAGCACTTAGACTTATATGCCACTTCACAGTGCTTTACAACCCTCTCTAAGCAGTTTACAGAGTCGGCCTCTTGCCTCTCAACAATCTGGGTCCTCATTTTACTGACCTGGGAAGAATGGAAGGCTGAATCAACCTTGAACTGGTCAGGATTGAACTCCTGGCAGTTGGCAGAATTAGTCTGCAATATTGCATTCTAACCTATGAACCACCACGGCTTCCTTCTTCTTGTTTGTCTTCCTTCCTTCCCATCTTCCTCCTTCATTCCTTCCTTCCCATCTTCCTCCTTCATTCCTTCCTTCCCTCCCTCCTTCCTTCCCACCTCCCTCCCTCCCTCTCTCCTTCCTAACAGATTTAACAGATTTAAAAGATAATCAGAGTTGGAAGGGACCTTGTAGGTCATCTAGTCCAACCCCCTGCCCAGGCAGGAGACCCTACACCATTTCTGACAAATGGCAGTCCAATCTCTTCTTGAAAGTCTCAAGTGATGACGCTCCCACAACTTCTGAAGGCAGCTTCTGTTCCATGGGTTGATTGTTCTCACTGTCAGAAAGTTTCTCCTTATTTCCAGGTTGAATGTCTCCTTGTTCAGTTTCCATCCATTATTCCTTGTCTGGCCTTCAGGTGCTTTGGAAAATAGCTTGACCCCTTCCTCCTCTCTGTGGCAGCCCCTCAAATACTGTATATTAGACATATATACTGCTTCACAGTTCTTTTCCTGCCCTCTCTAATCAGCCTGTTGCCTCCCAGCAGTCTGGGTCCTCATTTTCCAGACCTCTGAAGGATAGAAGGCTGAGTAAAACTTGAGCTGGTCAGGATCGAACTCCTGGCAGTGGGCAGAGTCAATACCATATTTTTACCACTGGTGGGAAGGTATGGTATTCTATTGGTACATGCAATACCATATTTTTACCACTGCGCCACCATGGCTCTTCCTGAGAAGAAGGCTAAATATAAGTGGTCTTTGACTTACAACCACAATTGGGACCAGAAGTGTAGTTGCTAAGCAAGGCGAATCACGTCTAAATTTATGACCTCTTTTGCCCTGATCATTAAACAAATCGCTGCAATTAGTAATCATGCGGTGGTGAAATGAATTTGGCTTCCCTCCACTGACTTCGCTTGTCGGAAGCCCTCTGGGACAGTTGCATGACCTCAGGACACTACAACAGTCAACAATAAATGCCAAGCACCCCAACTTTGACTCCATAATCACAGGGATGCTGTGATGGACAGTAATGCAAGGAGCAGTTGCCAATCACTTTTTTTCAGTGCCGTTGTAACTTCCAACAGTCGCTAAATGAACGTTTGCAAGTTGAGCACACCCTGCATATTCACCCGTTCCTTTTTCAAACTCAAGTTGAGATAGTATGTCTGTCCCATAATTGGGTAGACCAGGTTGCCCTGATAGGCCTGTCTCACCGGAAAAACACTTAATCTCTCCCCGACAAAATGAGGAAAGCCCATGGCCTAGAGGTTAATACAACTACCTAATATGCAAGAGGACTGGGTTTGAATCCCAGAAGGGTATGGCTAGTTGATGAGAGCTAAATAGCTTGAAATAGATTTATACTAAGGTAAAAGTAAAGGTTCCTCTTGTACCTACATGCTAGTCATTTCCAACTCTAGGGGGCGGTGCTCATCTCCGTTACAAAGCCGAAGAGCCAGTGCTGTCTGAAGATGTCTCTATGGTCATGTGGCCAGCATGACTCAATGCTGAAGGCGCACAGAACGCTGTTCCCTTCTCACCAAGGTGGTCCCTATTTTTCTACTTGCATTTTTTACATGCTTTCAAACTGCTAGGTTGGCAGAAGCTGGGACAAGTAACGGGAGCTCACGCCATGACGCGGCGCTAGGGATTCAAACCGCCGAACTGCCGACCTTTCTGATCAACAAGCTCAGCATCTTAGCCTCTGAGCCCCTTTTCGATCTATACTAGCATCCCTTTATTTCTTTATCAGTAAATATAAATTCAACGCATCAAGTCGAGATAATATCTATTGTTGCTGGTCATAACTGGTTTAAATCAAAGCAAATTAACTCAGACGATAAGCGTATTTGTGATGGCCCCCATCACAGTTTAAAAGAAAATAAGTCCTATCCCATCAGCCAGTTAGGCAAACATTCCATGGGGGAACCTTCAATCAAAGCATCCGCCACTTACTTACCCAAGAAATCCAGCCCGCTGGTGTCCTTGGTAGAACCCAAGCAATTCTCCAAGTAAATCCCATCCTTGAAACAGTTGTCCTGATTTTTGGTTAAGCCAAGGATCTCGCTGGGTTGGTCCAATACCTCACCGCTGAAACAAGAACATGGCGTCTGCATGATGCCACAAGGATGTGAGCTGCTGCTGGTGGCCAAGCAAGTATCCAGCCATTTGCACAACATCTGGCAAGCAGCCTTGCTGGGACTCCTGTTGCCCACCACGAGATATTCTACCGAGAAATCTCTTTCCTGAACCTTGGCGGGCTTCCACCTGACCCACCTGCTGTCCCCTTTGGAAAGAGTCTGTTTTATCTGGAGGAACTGCTTGTTGGACTGGAGGAAAGCGTAGCGGGTAGAGCTGTCGCAAAGGTTCAGCACGTCATCGAAGCTCTCCATGCCCAGGTACGTCCGCGTCGACTCCAAGAAGGAGTCGAATTGGTAGGTGCGTATCTGCTGGCGGTCGCAAAATCCCAGGGGCTTCAAAACCTTCATGTACAAGGTGTATCTCCGAGGATCGGGGTTTTGGATAATCCAATTGCAATGGGAAGCGTTCAACGGGAAGACAGCCAAAGAGGAGAAGTATCCAAAAAACTTGCCCTTTACCAAGGTGGTGCACGGTGAAGGTCCAAAGTCAAGGGCCACCACGGTCCACGCCAAGAACGGTGGCAACAACCAAAGCAGGTTCAAGGAATATCTATTGCTCCTCCTCATCCTAGTCCCCTGGTCCTCTGGAACTCAAAGCAATTGCCAGGCAAAGTGGAGATCATGGACATAACAGGAGAAAGAGAGAGAGAGAGAGAGAACTGGGCCCCAGTTCAGCGGCAGATTAATCCAGCCTTCTCACATCTGGATCGAGGCTCTTCCTCGGGGCTCGGACAAGCAACCTGCAGAAAAGAAAAGAGAAACCATGCATTTCATGAATTTCAGAAGGCAGAATGGTGAAAGGCAGCGAGATCCAGAGCTGCCTCGTAAGAACATCTCAAAGGTGTTCCTCTAGAACGTAGAATTAGGAGGTTGGAAGGGACATCGGTCTTCCCGTCCAACCCTTGGACCTACCTTGCATTTCTAGGGAGGAATGGTGGTGGCGGGGAGACCGGGATAAATTATGAGGAAACTTGGAATTTCATGGCACAAGTTCCTGGCAGCTCTGCATGGCATCTGCTATTCATAATAACAGAATAATAGAGTCGGAAGGGACCTTGGAGGTCTTCTAGTCCAACCCCTTGCTCAATCAGGAGACCCTACACCATTTCAGACAAATAGTCGTCTAATCTCTTCTTAAAAACCTCCCCCTCTTCTTTGTGGTAACCTCTTGGATATTGGAAGGCAAATTATTCCACAGGTTAATTGTTTTAGCTGTCAGGAAATCTCTCCTTTTGTTCTAAGTTGGTTCCCTCCTTGTTGAGGTTCCATCCATTGTTTCTTGTCCTGCCTTCAGGGGCTTTGGAGAATAGCTTGACTCCCTCTTCTTTGGGGCAGCCCCCTGAGAGATTGGAAGACTGCTATCATGTCACCCCTAGACCTTCTTTTCATTAGACTAGACATACCCAGTTCCTGCAACCGTTCTTCGTAGGTTTTAGCCTCCAGCCTCCTAATCCTCTTTGTTGAATGTTTTGGAGCTCAGATTTACCTAAAGAAGAGGCAGCCTTCCAGGGTGCTAAGAATTTGCAATCCTATCCATGGGAAGGACGCCAGTTGTGGGATGTTGTCTACTAGGCTAGAAGGGACCTTTGGAAGTAGCCTAACTCCCTGTCCAAGACAATAGACCTTAAAGCATCCCGGTCCAAAGGTTGTCCAGTCTATTTTTGAAAACCTCCAATGATGGAGCACCCACAATTCCAGGATTAATTGTTCTCATCGCCAGGAAATGTATCTTATTTCTAGGTTGGATCTCCCTTTATCACTCCCCCCCCACTCTGCAGGTAGGCCTCGACTTGCAACCATTCATTTAATGACTGTTCAAAGTGACGACGGCATTGAAAAATGTGAATCATGACTGTTTTTTCCCCCTTAATTGCAGCATCCCCATAGTTGGTCCCATGATTTAAATTCAGATGCTTGACCACTGACTCACAATTACGATGGTTGCAGTGTCTACGTGATCCCGTTTTGCGACCTTCAGACTAGTAAAGCCAAGGAGGAAGCTGGGTTCGCTTCCCAATTTCATTGCTCACATATCAATTGCCGCGATTCACTTAACAACTGTGGCAAGAATGGCCATAAAATGGGGCAAAGCTCACTTAACAAAGGTTTCACTTAGCAACATCCATTTGCAGCACAATAGTGGTCATAAGTTGAGGACTACCTGTATAGAGACTAGGGCCATATGGAAGCACCTGCTGATAGTGCAAAGTCACACCTGTTTTAATACATTCCACTCCCGTCTTTGCCAAGATCTTAGGACACAACTTCTTCCTATGACATCTTCTTCCGTTAGAAGGTGTTTTTGGTCCTACAAGCCAACTCTACCTCCACAAATACACTTTCACTAAATACCAGCACAGATGCATTTCTGACCTTGCTTGTAGATGAAAAGCTGCGATAAGCGGAACGGTTGGACAATCTCTCTTTGGTACCACCCACGCTGCCATGCACATCATACCACCCACAACGAGATTTGCATTACACGAGACCTGGAACACAGATACATCATCCTTAACGTTAAAAGACCTGCAGGAGAGTCTAATGTAAGCTTGAGTTGACTAGAATGAGGAAGCACAGATTCACAACAGAGGTGCTGATACCACTTTATAAAGCCTTAGTAAGACCACACCTAGAGTAGTGCATCCAGTTTTGCTCACCACACTATAAAAAAAGATGTTGAGACTCTGGAAAAAGTGCAGAGAAGAGCAACCAGGATGATGAGCAGACTGGAGGCTCAAATATACAATGAATGGTTGCGGGAACTGGGCATGGCTAGTCTAGGGAAGAGAAGGGCCGGGGAAACAAGATAGCATCTTCCAATATTTGAAGGGTTGCCACAGAGAGGAGTGGGTCAAACTATTTTCTAGAAGGCAAGACAAAAAACAAAGCCAATGCAATCCTAAGTTGCATTAACAGAGGGTTACAATCAAGATCACGTGAGGTACTAATACTACCCTATAAAGCCATAGTAAGACCACACTTAGAATACTGCATCCAGTTTTGGTCACCACACTATACAAAAATAGATATTGAGACTCTAGAAAGAGTTCAGAGAAGAACAACCAGGATGATTAGGGGATTGGAGGATGAAACATACGATGAACGGTTACAGGAACTGGGCACGGCTAGTCTAGTAAAGAGAAGGACCAGGGGAGACAGGATAGCAGCCTTCCAATATTTGATGGGCTGCCACAGAGAGGAGGGAGTCAAGCTATTTTCCAAAGCACCTGAAGGCCAGACAAGGAACAATGGATGGAAACTGAACAAGGAGAGATTTAACCTGGAAGTAAGGAGAAATTTTCTCACAGAGAGAACAATCAACCAAGAGAACAGAAGTTGCCTGCAGAAGTTCAGCTTC